ATCCACAATCATTTTGGCTGTCGCTTTTCGGTCATGTTTATTACTTAAAACTTTTCATAACCGGTACGCTTAATGGAGTGTTTAAAATGTAATACGTTTAGAGGTACATCAGTGGCAAAGCAATGACTTCAATTCGTTATTCAAATAAATGCCATGTTTTCTTCTGGAGACTTAATGAACAATAAACTAACCAAATTTGTTGTTGAAACCAAAATCTTATATTCTGTAATAAATATTATCAAATATTTGAGCTCTGCGTGTTATAAATTTATTCTTAGATAGTATAAAATATGAATGTTAATTTATATTTTTCTCATGTAGATTTGTTCACATGGTGAAGGGCTTCGTATTTAATTAATCAAATTTCTTACGTTTTTTCTATTTTAAAAACCTAAAACGTTGCAAACATTATTGCACAAATATTTTAGTAGTTTGTTACTGAAGTACAAGTTATTTATAACATTTAAATGTTTATCAATAATAACCAACCATTTTTTCATTCTAAGAGAAGATTTCAAGTAAAATTTAGGGGATAAATGTGGACAGCCAGAAACATGTGTAACAGTTATTCGCTATCTACTTTAACATTGAAATTATTCTCGAATATGTTATCATTAAGAGACTCGTTAAATTAAACCTTTGAAGCGGGTTATAATATTCCACGTCTCCTGCAAGTTAGCGATATAGTTTCGAATTAAACTCCGTATGAAACGTCAGGATAGATCAGCTAATTACATTCACTATCCTGAATTATTCAAAGTGACTGACTTCAATATTAAGGTGTCTGGCAGGAATTCTGAATCATTATCATGAATTTCTCTTCGGTTAACCTTCAAAGTTTGAATGTTCTGTATTCTATGATTAAACAATGTGCCAACATAATTTTTAACCTGTTATTTTGTACGAATTCAGTTTTGAAAAATTATTCACAAGCCAACGTCTACTCAGTTCTTGCTTCTAAATTATTATGTTTCTGGCGTTTTGATAAAGTTGCGCGGCCAATATAGCATAGTTGGAGCCAATTTACTATACTACAAAACTGGGAAGAAAACAGCCATTTGTAGCATTAAACGTTACTTACTGAGTGGAACATTCTCTGTAAATGACATGCGTAAAGCCTAAGAATTTTGAATATTTTTACAAAAATAATGTAGTAAAAATTGTTCCTTTCAGCCGAGCAGATCGTGACTCAGTGAATAAGACGTACGATTCGGAAGTCGAACATCCCGAGTTCGAAACCTATCAGAGGCAAGTCACCTAAAAATTGTTATGGTTTTTTGAATTTACCCTTTAAATTTTCCTAAGTTACCAAAAGCTACCCTACAAATTGACCATAACACCCGAATACTCTTACCACAGAAAAAATACTAGTAACAATAAAGTTGAAAATTTTTGCGTTGTGTTTATTCCGGATTAACCCTTAAAATCCATTTGAGTAAAAAGACTGGTAAAAATCATGAACACACAAAATAAATTTAACCATTGAATGATCTAGAAAAACTTATTTATTTAACTATTAAAGCAAATGACTGATATATCCATTAGTACCATTGTTTTCACACATCCAACATTTCTGAGTAATTACTTTTTCTTTTTAGGTATAACTCCTTTAGTTATTATTAAATTTAATATTGCAACAACATGTAAAACATACCAAAGAAATAATTACTATAAATTTAATGAACAATACCCTCCCCGGGGAGAAAAAAAAATAAAATAAAAAATAATTTAACAAGTTACACTTCCAAAAAAATGAACACTTCACACAGAATAATCAATACAGAAGACATATATTGCATACTATACTATTGCATTCAATCACTTCAGTTGTGATAGTGCTATTGCACATAATAATTTTCTTTTATTTTTTTTTTTATTAAAGTAGTGTTTAACCGGATAAATGTTAGGTAATTACACTATTACGATCCTACCAAAAAGTTAATCCCTGAGAGTAGCAGAGAGGCTCAAACAAGATATTACAAATCAATCCTCACCAAGCAGGCACTCCAAAGTTGAATTACATAATTACATGAAGAACTTATTTTTCTTTTACAATTAAGTTAAGTTACAATAATAAAAAAAATTAAATCCTTAGTCAATTTAATACTTTACTTAATCGACACACAAAAAATGATTTCTATAGAGTTAGGTTAACTTGGTCTACTACAAAAAAAAAAAAAAACATTTATTGGAGAATGTTTTGCATTTTCTAGAACCTTCCAAGTCTAGAATGTTACAGCTCCTTCACCAAGTGTATAGAAGTGGTTACTTATTCATTTCAAATAATAAAGCTTTGAGCTAAGACTTCAGTACTGCCTTTTCATTTGTCTCAATTCTTCTTTTGATACTTCATCTACGCGACAATATTATACGTTCAGAACTGTTATTATCAGAAAGTTTACCTTATTTGGCGCTTTTCGTCAATTTGAACTATGAATTTCTGATCAGTATTTTAGAAAAGCATGTGCGTATTTTTTTAAAAATCATCATATGCTAATCAGTTTTGGTGTTATTCCAAACACTCAAAAATTGGTCTTATGCCATTTGGGAACTAAGGCTAAAATCTAATCCCTGAAGATTTTACGAATAATAATTTACGAATTCTTAAATTCATTATTCGCAAAACATCAAAAATCCAAAACGTCTACGAAAAACAAAAAGTCAACATATTTACGATTAACAAGTATTTTTATTACTAATAAATAAATTATTTTTTAATTTAAAATTTTAAAAAAATATAAATTTGGATTTGCATAAATATAATGACGTTTACACTTTCCAAGCAGCCTAGCCTTTAACTGCTGTGAGCGTACGATACAAATTTCGGCCGATAGAGTTCATTTTTCGTTGTTGTTACATATTACGCTTTTTTATAAATATTCTTGAAATGTCTTCAAATGCATGCAGAAAACGTTCTAAATATCTTACCTAAGACCAAATTGAATACACAGTTCGAAATTGGTCTAATTTAGAGTTCTCTGATGAAAGTTCCCCATGATGAAATTATTGAGAACGACCACGACACAACTTCAGAAAAATCTGCCGATGAAAATGAAAATCCATGTTCTCCTTCTACAAGAGATCTTTATATTGGAAAAAATGAATTCAAATGGTCTATTCAAGAGCCCAACAAGGGTGTTCGAACTCGTAGTCACAATATTGTTCTTCTTTCAACTGCTCGTCGAACCCGACGTTAACCTATGGCAATATTCTTCAGAAACTTGGATATCTGTGCAACAAATGCATTCGTATTATTTCAATCTTATCCCATTGACTCCGAAAATGAAACTAAAAGATTTCATTAACAATTCAATTGGTGCAGTCTCATGTAAAACGAAGGATAACTTCATCATTTTTACCTAAAAGAACTCAAACTTACAATAAGAAGAGTTTTCGGAATAAATGATGATAAAGGAAACATTGCGATTGAAGACGATAAATTAGATAAAGAAAAAAAAAGAACGTGCTATATTTGTCCACTGAGCAAAAAAAAAAAAAAAAAAAAAAAAAAAAAAAAAAAGGAAAACAGCTTACAAATATATAGCATGCAAAGAATCAGTGTGTCTACAAAGCAGTAGAAAAGTATGTATAAAGTGCAGCTCGAACTATAATTTTTAAAATAAAAATTAATTTTCTATATTCTTATTAAAGGATTCTTATCGCAAATTTTAATGCAAAATAAAAAAGTTGAATTTTAAAATTTACTTCATCCATCCAGATACGTAAGCGAAGGAATTATTATCATAGTATATGTTTTATTTTAATGAACTGATTTAAGTATAAAAATTGCTTTTTAGCTTCATGAAGAAGTTAAATATATGATATTAAATAATATTTATTCAAATAAGAAAAAAAAAACAATATCTTATTTTGTTTTTAGCAGAAGCGGTCTGAGACACCGCTCACAGTAGTTATGCGACAATTTAAAGGCACAGTAGTTGAAGGATAGATAAAAAGCTGGCCCAACTAAAGGTATACAAAAATCGAACCGAGTTAAGTTAAAAGTATATTAGTTTTGTGAGATTTCCTTTGTTTTTATAGTAATCTTACGTATGCATTTTTATACTGCATATACACTAATAAAAGCAGTGTTGTACTGAAATTTGATCTGCATATACTTTTAAAGAGCATTCCTTAGACTAGTTTGTGAGAACTTTCGCTTTCTATTTCTTTTAAGCATTTACCATTAGCCCTATAAAATAACTACAAGTTCTTCGTTTAAACACCTCATGAAAGTATAGTTATTGTATTTACGCGCATAATTTTCGCCCTAACTTTTTAGGCTCAAGGTTCTGAAATTTCTTTAATATTCCCTTTCAAGATGCTCAGAAAAAGAAAATCACTCCATTTAAAATTGAATTCGTCCCCGTAGTAGGTGTTTTCTCCTTACTAACCGATTGCCTATTGTATATTCCGTATATGAGGTCGAAATGATGACGTATTTGCAGTGAAGTGCTTTAAGGAAACAATCCTATCTAATATTCCTGATGGTTCTGAAGATCATTGCACTCATCAAGACGGACTGAACAATGACGAAGATGATAACAATGGTGATGATGACGAAAATTTGCAACAGATTAAGGATGATTTGAGGCCTGTGAAGTAGTTGTGGACAAAAATAAGAGCGGCCAAGATTCAAGGTACAGGGAAGCAGAATAAAATTAGTTTATTAGACATTATAATATTAATAATATTATGCATCTTACTTCAATATAGATTTCTTTTAAATAAAAAGTATTGCAATAGTTATTGGTATTTTATCCAAGATTCGTTTTCATTTATTACGTTCTTACTGTAACCGCGTCCTTCGGAAGCTAAATTATTCGCATAATGTTTCCCACTTGAGCTCCGTATGACAAAATTAATAAAAAAGAGGAGGACACGGAAGTAAATACAGTATTCATAATTATTTTGAAATACTACTAATAATAATTGAGTTATCATTATTATTATGATTTGTTATTATTATCATTATATTTTGTTTTGATGTTTAATTTCAGTTATATGGAGACTCGGCTTTCGCTGGAACCATTCTGGAAGGCAAGGGGGTTCCTGATGTATTTGGAGTCACATGGGTCTGGGGAATGGGAGCTCTCCTGGGAATCACGTGTGCAGGAGGCGTATCAGGTAACAACGTCGTTTACTATCTCTTTGTATCATTTAAGGAACGAAATATTACTTCGTTTTGTTCATCACTGTTAAAGGCATTTCCGTTTTGTTCACAATTTCTCTTCGAGAGCAGTTGATTCACATTTCAATGTTTTCGTTCAGGAAAAAAATGGATGCATTTGACACTCATTATAACAACTAATTTCCTGGTGGGAAAAGAATGTTATGACAAGATCTCACTGCAATAAAAACTCTTTAATATACTCTCATCAGTTGGGTGTATTTTCTGTTGGTTGTTGTAACAAAATGTTGTTTTAGCGAACGTCTACTATATATATATATATCTTTGACAGCATATTTCTGCTCCTTGATGGAGAATAACCTCATGCCAACCTGCCTGAAGGCAAAGATTTTCTTACAACAGTGTAACAATCTAACGCTGAATTGTGCGCAACATTAAATTTCAAAATGGAGGCCAATTTTCTCAGTTTTCTCTGAATTTAGGCTAAAAACTTCCCGCTCCAAAAGATCTCCAAAGTCCAAAAAGACCAAAAGATCTTATGTAATTTTCTGCACAGCGAGCTCTTTATTTTAAAACGTTTCTTTCACATCACCCATCTTAGGTTCTTTTTGTAATTTTTAAGTTGCCCCTATCAATAGAAGTCGAACATGCTAAGGATTTTATAATGGCTTTCTTGCAAAAAATAAATATTATTGTTATTTCTACACAGTTTAAAATTTGATATCACGTCAATCATCTTAAATCCACTTAGTGTTAGCTGACACTGAAAACTCTTTTCCTAACGTGGATGGTGATTTTCCGAAATCTCACTTCCGAAGAAAGACAAAACCGATAATAAAGCAAAAAAACAGTTCTCACTAAAATCGTTGCATGGCACCTTGTTAGTTCTATACTCTTCTACAGTTTTATTCGAGACTGTTAAAATTTCGCACAATTCATCTGAACCAAAATAAGAGAAAAATCAGAATCTAGAAATTTCGAAAAAACTACTCACTAAACGAAGACACTTCGTTCTGCGTAAAGCCCGGGCAACAACAGGTACTTCAGCTAACGTATTGAACAATAGATTAGGTAACATAATTATTCTTCATTTTCTTAAATGGATAATAAAATGCATACTTTATATGACTTTTCATGCAATCTTATTCCAAGACCATGTTGAAGAGGAGAAGTAAGATTGCAGCAATAGCATTCTTGTTGTTTAATTCAATAGTCCACAAAATTTTTTAAAGTAAGGGTCTTAAAGCAACTAAGAACTTTTAAAGATTAGTAGCAAAAAAGACGCTCTTTATAAGAAACAAAATTCAACTTGTGAGTGGGTTGAAAGTTGAAGATTTCCCAGTCTGAAAATAATCGGATTAAAAGTTTCTATTTTCGTTAATAAACTACTTCCGATTAAACTTTTGCACACATTAACAACATCGAAACTTGATTTTTGCACGGGCAAACGGGACTCTTTCCTAAAGTTTCAAGGGGTCCAACAAATCTTCTCTCCGTATTCAAAATATTATATTACGTATTATATTCTATTTTACTCCAGTTCAAGGTTTCAAAAATAGTAAATTAGAATCAGAACACTCAGAATAAATGTTTGCGTGTTTAAAAAAATTGGAATTCCTCAGTGCAGTCGAATCGTGCTGTAACGAACTTTAAGCCACCGGAACCTTGAATTGCTATATCCGATTAGATAATAAAAGTAAATTTTCTTAAAAAAGTGTAAAAACAGTGCTTTTATATTTGTAAGAAAATTAACAATAAAAAATACTGAAAAATTTACCTTTTACTTAAGATATGTATGATTATAAGGTAAATATACCATAACTTTTGTAAAGAATATTATAGAGAATATATTAAGTCTTTCAAAATGCCTAAAGTGCAACACATGATGACACTATATGTGTAACACAGGATGATACAACTCAATCTTTCAAAAATTTAGAAAATTCCAAAACAGATATTATGGATATAAGGTAAATTGTGTCAATGAATTGCTCTCTTGTACAGTTAGAACTAATTTACACATAAAGTTCCAAGTTTCAGTTGCAATTTAATCTGTTAACTTGAATTTTATTTTTCTTTTAAAGAGCAAGTGGGAAATGAATTTTTCCCAAGAAAAAAGTCTTTTATTATTCGTAAAGGTTTACATCAATGTTTATCAACTCTACTAAACTGACAAGCCAGCTATCGCTTCAGTTTGAAGTCCAGAGAAGGTTAAAATGACTTTTGCAATTAAACTTTACAAAGCAAAAAGCGCCACTTATGCGCACAAACAAACCTCCACCACTTACGGGTACGTACTTAAAATAGCATAAGTTGAAACTCAGTTTTAAGTAACATAGTCCAAGTCTACAGAAAATTTAAGCTGGCTGAAATATTTTAAATTGCGAGTTTTTACATCGGCTAGCGAAATAGCTAAAGCCGACATAATCACTGGCAGAGTTGACGATAGGATGTAAACTGCAAACCAAGCTGCAAAATGCTCTATCACTAAAACATCCAAAACCCTGTATTAAAATACATAACAAACTACTTAGCATTCTGTTGAGAACTGCGGAAAGAAGAAGTTACAGTAAAGGTTAAAATCATAATAATTGCTTAATTAACGTAAAATTCTTACAGATTTAACGTTACATTTCACCTCATTCTTACGGAAAATTGTTGAATAGTTTAAAGAGATCGTTCCAAATATCGCTGAACCTAAAAAGACAATGGTTTTTTTTTTTTTTTTTTTTGGTAACCTGATTTCGATAAGCTAGGGATGTTCATCATAAGAAATTAATTAGCCGTTCGTCTGTTTTAGATTCAGACTCAAGAATAAATACTGGAATCATCAGTAAAGAATGTAAGAGGGCACTGCAGTCAAATTTATGCGTTGCGAAGTAATGCTCAGATATAAACCAGTCTGCTCAGGGAAAACTCAGCTGTAGCTGAGTAACAAGTAAACGGTTTTCAAAACTAATATTTTAAGCGTCAACTTAAATTTCAATTAATGTGTTATTTGAAATAGTGTACGGGCATCATCAATCGAAACAAAATCTGCCATTGATATCCATTTTAGAATTTCCACAATGTTCGATTGTTTGGTGTATGCGATGTGTGTCTGTATAATTCTTTATTTGTGCTATATATTGAAAATGCCCGGACAAAAATGGAACACATATTAGCTAATCCCGAAGAGAGCAACGGACAAAATCTCATGGATTACTCAGTTTAAGCAAAACACGCAAAAACTACATATCTGAGGATCCAATGTTTGTCGAGGGCACCTCTGGCTTTTCCAGGGTAGATCTGTTGCTAAAGTTAACCTTAAATTTACCCTCCCTGAAGGTCTACACAGAATGTCCACAAAAGTGCATATATGCCTTTAATAATTATCTTCGTTACCGTTGGTCTTAGATATATACTTCTACTTACAAAAATATTTTAATGACGGAAAAATTCAAATTACGGTATTTTTAAATCAATTTTGCAAAAACTAAGAAATTTAATTTTTGTATATTCCCATGTTTCTATACTTACGCTTAGTAAGAGTTTATATTTATTCTGAAAAATAAAGCATAAAATGTTTGATCACCTGGTAAAACTAAAATTGACCAAGATATTTAATTTTAAACTTTGAGATTCTTTGAAAATTCAGAGGTAATACACAAATTGAAGAGCGAAAATTTTTAATTAGTATGTATCTATTTAAAAATAAATTATTAGGTTAGGTTGCGAGGTTTCTTTAAGTTGATTAGCCAATTATTTTATATTTTAAATATTTACTGTCACTTATCCTTTTCTGTTTTCCCGTCAGAATGCGTGCATACACCGATAGAATACCATAGAATTTGAAAATCAAGTAAGATGACTTGGACTCGTTAAGCAGCTCGAAATTTGGGTTCTGCATGAATTGAAAGAAATTCACTTAGCACAAAGAATTAATATTTGCGATTCACTTTTCAAACGTATCGAAAATTATCCTGGTCCAAGCATGATGAATCAGCACAAATCATATCGAACTGCGTTAGAAAAATATCATGCTGTGAATTTGGTGGGATTACAAAGGTGTTGTGCATTTGAGCTGCTCCCAAGCAAACTCAGATATTTCGTGCCAACTTCTTATGAAATTGGCGGAAGCAATCTAAGAGAAAAAAACTAGAATTGGCAAATCTCAAAGGAATCGTGGTCCTCCACGACAATGTGAGTACTCACATATCTTTAGCAATACATACGAAATCATTGGGACTCCACTGGGAAGTAATGTTGCGTACTGCATAGAACCCTGACCTTGCACCATCGAATTATTACTTATTTCGAAGTTTCAAAACTTCTTAAATAGTAAAAATTTCGGTAATAACGACGACCTCAAATAGCACGTGGTTGAGTATTTTGCTGATATAGACCAGAAGTTTCATGAGCACGGAATTATGAAGTTACCAGACAGGTGACAGGTAAATGCAGGGCCCGGACACCCGGAGGCGTTATATGACAAATCGGGTGTCGTCCGGTACACGCACCTATCTAGAACAGCACAACCCTCGCGGTTTCCCGTGAGGGCTGCATCGGAAATTTATTAATGGAGAAATGAGGTTTTGACGTGACTAAACAAGGGCATATGCATATATGCTTCAGCGTACAATTGATAAAAATTTCATACATAGGTACATTGGCTGGTAAAGGTACATTGGATACATATGTATATTGGGCCTAAGTGGTTAATGAGATAGGCAAGCAATAAACGCTTATACATTAAAAGAAAAGATACACTGATAATGCAACTGGCACATTAATGCAGAAGATGACAAATAATGATTACACGTAATAGTGTATCATCCTGTATCATAATATATAAACTACTAGAAATAATATACATAAACACTTATACATTAATAGCAATGATATTCTGACACGACACATGCACAGTAATACGTACGATAGCGATAAATGAAAACACATAATCAAGCATTATTCTACTGGGCTATGCACACATCAATAAAATGATACATACACACCT